AAGAAGGTAATAAAAGTTTCTTCTTTGCATTAAAAAAAAAAAACAACAAGAAGGTAATAAAAGTTTCTTCTTTGCATTAAAAAAAAAAAACAACCAAAAGAAGAAGAAGAAGAAAAAGAAGAAGAAGAAGAAGAAGAAGAAGGTTTTCGCTCCCTAATATAAGTGGGAAAAGTATGTAACAGTAATACTACCATTGTACACATCTTATCTGGTATACAATCACCCATTTAAATGTTTTACAGGTAAGCAAAAGTTCATTTATCACTCATCTAAATCTATGCGAATTGGTATGAAATCTACATCTAATAATGTGTTACATTGTAATTTACTTATTATCATGCTAAAAAGCTACAGCTATTGCATGGAAGATGTTGATAAGTAGATAATAATAAAGGCCGCAATTTTCATTAATCTTTTGACACAGGAGAAAATTCCCACGTTGAATTACAAATTCAAATTTTGAACCCACAATTGTTTCCTACTTAGGGGATGTTTAATTAGAGATTAAGAGTTTGTCTATGTTGGAGCTCTTCCATTTAAATTGTAAAATAAGTTAGAAGAGATTTGAAAAGAAAATAATTTTCTTCAATTAGAAAAAAAATTTATTTACATATAAATTTTATACATTACATTTATATAAAATGTTAACTTTTATCTTTTCATAATGATTAAAATTTATCATAACTTTTAATATAAAAATAATAATTAACTTTAATAAATATAAATAAGTATTAATTATTAAAAATAAAAAATAAAAAATTAAAATTTTATATAAATATTACCTATAAAATTTATATGAAAATATATCTATGTTTCCCAATTATATGTCCTGTAAGTACCATGACAAAGCCAAAGCTACTCACGACATGTAGCATGCATGATCTCTGTATTACCAGTTACCATTACATTAATCGAGACTAATTGGTTTGCTGTTACAAATCTAATTTATTATGTTTTTTTTTTATTACACAATGATAAAAAAAAATTATTTTTTATTTTTTATCTCATATTCTCATCTCATGCAATTGAAACTTAAGATTTACTCATTTATTTTTTAAAAAAAATAATTATTGAACTACTAACGTAATTGACAATTTATTATTTTTTGTGCACATAAAAATATGGAAAATAAGTTGAGCTTTGATATTACCCATGAGGAAAATCGAATTCCTGGCTCATTTAATTTTTGCTAAACTTCTCCTCGCACTTTATTAAACAGCATCCCTGCTGCTGCCTACTGCAACACATGAAATAGAAATAACTGCTGTGAAAAAGAAACATCTCTATCGCAAAAATAAACACACACACCTGGATAAAATAAAATCAATTAAATTCTATCATCATCAACACAACAAACTCAGAATTCAGATTGTAGGTAGCTTCACTGGTACATTCAGGCCCTCAAATCCTAACCTAAAAAAAAAAGAAAAAAAGAAGCTAAAACCGGTGGGCGACGGTGGCCGTCGTAGCAGTAACATGGAAAGGCTGCCATGCGGAAGCGGTGAGCAAACAAAGGTCTTTCCACCCGAGCTTGAGGGCACCGTTATCCTCCACCAATGTATACCCTTCAGAAGGGAACATGCCAAGAAGCAGGGTAGCCTGCGTGGCGGCGTTACCAGCCAGAGAAATGCCCTTGAACCCAGACTGCTGCAGCTTTTCCCTCCAGTTGTGGAACTTCACCTCCGCAGTCCTTGACGGCCCCCCCACTGCTAAAACATTCCGTATCTCCCTTGACAGTAGCTGCTGCTCTACCACGTGCCGCTCCTCGCTCTCCTCCCCATAGCTGGCCCCCAATGAATCAAACAGTGCCGAGTAATAATGTATCGCCTCCACAAACCTCCCCAGAAACGATCCTGCCGGACTCAGGTCCTGCTCCACCACTGTCACCACCTTCGGCCCCAATCTGCACCCATGGAAAAAAAAAAAAAAAAAAATTCATAAGAAAATTTAAAAACTGAAAAAGACCCCTTTTTTCAATTAAAATGTAACAAGAAAAAGTGTAAATAGGAGAAAA